TTCAGTGAAGTAACATTTGGTGAAGCATTTTTTATGGAATAACTCTTAGTAAAACAACTTTTAGTGAAAGAGTTTTCAGTAAAGGTGTCAGTGTTGTTTTTTGATAAAGTTGTTTTGAAAACAGCTATTCCGTGAAGAAGTTATTCCGTGAATAATTTTTTTATGACAGAGTTGTTTTATGAATAACTGTTCCATAAAATAACCTCACTAAAACCATTTTATCACCTGTTTTGATTTGTCCTCAATTTTAGAGAAATTTATAAAAATAAAATATTAATAACCAAAATTAAGTATCTACACCCACCTTAAGATTTTGGATAACAGATGGTCTCTCAACTAACTCTAACTCCTCTAGATTATCCTTGTTTCCCTTTTCAGAAAAAGCTTAAGCATTGTTAATTAATCTTCTTGATCAAATACTTTGGTAATACAAAATGTATGCACCACTAATTCTATAAAGTAAACAGCAATGACTTGATTAGTTGCAACCTTCTAGCATGGGATAAATGCTTAATAGCCCACCCTTTAATTCTTGCAGTAATCTTTTTTAATAATGAAGCATAATATGTCTCTGTTAGCCTTTCTTGTTACCAAAGGTACTCTTAGATACCTTACTGGTAGTCTGCCTATCTTAAACCCTGTAGCTTGCTAAAGTGCATGAATCTCTTCCTTACTCACTCTTGATGAATACAACCCACTTTTTTCAAAATTAAGCTACAATCCAGAATAGTAGTAGAACACTTGCAACACCTCATTGATTCCAATAATGGCGTTTGTATTGTTTTTAGTAAATATCAATAAGTCATTGACAAAACACAAATGTGTTAACCCAATTTTCTTATATTTTGGGTGATAAGCAAATATTATATGTCATTATATCTTTTTATAAATTAAGATATTTGGATAAAATCTAAACAATGTAAAATAATTTTATAAATATGTAAGACATACATCACTCATTTTCTCTTCAATATATTTTCAATTTAACTAAAGTGATGCCTCGCTACATGTGGGTTTTTTTAAATACTTATAGAAAATAATTTTAAATTAAATAATATTAAGAATAATAATGTTTACTATAATAATAGTAATAATAAAGCAAAGATAATTATTTTAAAAATTAAAATAATAATATTTAATTTATTCAATTAATTATTTTATTTTTATTTTTTAAAGTAATTTAATAAATTTAATACATGCAAAAAATTAGAAAATATATATACAAAGCTATAAAAATAATTAAAAATATATAAATTATTATTACATTTGATCCAAATTTGCAAAGCCCCATAAAGATTCATATTAGGTCTTACCTTTTCACAAATTTTCCTTTTTTCTCCCATCATTTTTTGGCAATTTAATTATAAAATCATCACTTTCTCATAACCTATATATATATGTATGTATGTATGTATGTATGTATGTATGTATGTATGTATATAGTCTTTGATATCTAGATTCAATGAAATTTTTTTAAAATTTTTAAATTGTAGATTTATTTTTGTAAATTGTTTATTTTTTTCTATGATTATGTTGTCATTTTAATTGTAGACTATTTTTTAAAATTATAGAATTTATCTTGCTATTTTAATTCAAATTTTTTATAAAATTAATTATATATTCCCAAGTAAAAATTATTTGAACTTGTTTTGAAGGTCAAGAGTCAATTGCATTTAAGCCAGAAGCCCAAAAAATAACATACCACATTCTTCACACACAAAACTCAATAAAACCTGAAAAAATAGTAGATAGAAGTCAATCCCTAAACTGTTAAGGATTCTTTTAATAGAGGGTAGTATGGATTAATTTTGCAAACTAAAAGTCAATCCCTTGGAAACAAAAGAAACCCAAAAAATAAAATGTCGCATTCCTCACATCAAAAGTAAATGATAATAATGATTCAAATTAAATCGAATTTAATTTATTTTTTAAATAATTATTATTATAAATTTTTTAAATTTGATTTAAATTTGAACTGATTTTTCTTTAAAACCAATTTAATTTGAATTAAATTTTATTAATTCATTTCGGTTCATAAGTTTTTAAATAAGTTTAAATCTAAAATAATTATTTTATTTTATAAAAATTTAAAATATACATAAAGCTAATAAAATAATATAATTCGATTCGATTTAAATTTTTGATTTATCATTTTTCAATTAAAAATTCGATTCAAATATAATATATACATTTATATCTAAATTTAAATCGATATGAATAAAAAAATTTAATCTAAATATTACTATTTCAAATCAATTTTTTATTTTTTTAAAATTTTTTTCACCTCTACCCCACACCCAAAGCCCAATAAAACTAAAAAAAATGGACCGTTGTTTATCCGTAAACTATTGAGATTCTTTTAATAGATGGAGCATATCACCTAAAATTTTTTTGACTATAAAGCTATAATTGTTTAATCAAAATAAAAATTATGTAAAGATTTTTCATTTACAATAAATCTATATTCCATATAAGACTTCATTTAATTCTAAATTATAATTAATTAATTATATTATAATCATTTTACTTGACATTAACGTGCTTCTTTTAATGTATAGTAGTATAGAAGTGTTTTATCTTTCTAATTTTTTCTTCGCTTTTTTTACCAAATACTATAGCCCTTTTCATCCTGTTAAATTTTGTCCACCAACTACAAAGCAAAACTTAACCTTTTTTATTTTTTATTTTTTCTTGTCTTTTCCTAAAATCAATATGCTCATTGGACTGTGAGTATAAAAAGTCAATTATTTCATCCAAACATGGTGCTTGAAATAATTCTTCATCCAAAGACCCAGTTTGTGACGAAGTGATTGCAAAGGCATGGTTGAAATTGTAGAGTCGGCCAAAATAATCGACAACCACATTAGTTTCGCAATAAATTTGCTGTACCTAAGAGCTGACAAGTGGCATCTAATCCAAATATCAACCCCACTAACAATTAAGATGCACAGCCCTCACTTATTGACCGATGGGGTTCTCGGATACGCAATTAACCTACTCTCTAATAATATATTTGAATAGAATCTGATAAAATAGAAAATAACATTGATAATAATATTAATTATTGTAATAATAAAATTAGAGTCAAAAATAAAAATATATTTGAATGTAAATAAAATGATGGTGGTGAAATTCCATATAAAAATTAATTGTCCCATAAAAAATAGTTAACTGTTATAATTAAAAATGTTCCCACCTTTCAATTTTATACTAAAATAATCCACTGTGTTTAGGGATCAATGAACTATTAAACATTTTTTCCTCCAATCTCCAATTGAAATAGCAGTGCAATTGAAAATCTTCAAATACAACAATGAAATGCTAGTTAAATGCATTTACGAAACAGTTGAGGGTAAAAAAATATTGGATTCCATCGCGCTGACACTATAGAATCCAAATCAACCCTAAATAATAGCAAAGCCTTCCAATTTCTAGGGGAAAAAAATAAATCATTTTACTATTTTAACTGCTTTGCTGCCGCGGCGCAGCATAATTGAATAACTTTGACTCTTTTTTTGGTCTTCATTATTCACATTCAAAGGTTAATTTTAATAAGTTATTAGCCATAAATTTCCCCCAATGGGAACGCTCTAGACCCTACATATGTTAGATAGGTTGATGATTACAATTAATGGTTTACCACCTAAATAATTGAATAACTTTAAAATTAACATTGAAATGACATTTTAAAATCACTAACCATGTGAGTTCTTTCAATGACATTTTAAAATCTTATATATATATATATATATATAATGTCGACAACCCCACTTTTTTAAATCCAAAATCAACTCAATTAAAATAGAAAACCTGAAAAAAATTAGAATAATTATTCCAATTTTATGATTGTAATATAGCAATTTGTCAATAGGCCAAGTTTTATACGATTTGGTTAGCAACTGATACTAAGCATTTGAAATTAAATTTTCATGTAATGGCATGGGAGGATAAAACATGAAATAAGACAATAGAGTTTATTTTCAAAGATATGATGATTGTCTTGGAGCTTGATTCAAATTTCAAACTAGTTAACTTCTGTTTTGAGCCCTTGCTCTCTCGTTTTATCCCTCAAAAAAGTTAAAAATTCTACGTGTTCAATTCTGCGTCTGTCATTCTGTTGTTGAGAAGTCCAGAGTTTTTATGACCCAAGACCCTCAGAGACCAGCCCTGTCAGTCTAATTTCCAGGCCCTCGCTGCTGGTTATAATAGTAATAGCCAGCCAAGAAACCGAAGATTGCTAACCTAGTGTTCCTTCAATCTTTACCGTTAGTCGGAAATGACTTTTTGCCAGAAATCACATAGTCCGCTCGGCAATCAACTAACAAATTAGATTCTTATTAATATGCCAACCCAAAAGTTGGAAATACCCGTGCCAGTCCAAAACCTGAGCACACCTAATAATTAATTGACTGGCCCAAAGCTTGCCCCGCATAAAATAATTTACCTGTTCACAACCCTGCTCCTGTGATTCACATTCTTCCTCCAACTGAACTAACCTTTAACCGCAATTACACAGTTTCATCTCTTTCAAACAATTCTTGGACTAGAACGGAAGCAGAAATATATGGAATAGCTTCCCATAATTTTGTTTCACCTTAAAAGCTTTGCCAGTATTATTTTTTTTTTTATTTTTTAGGAAAAGACAGTAGTTTAAAAATAAATAAAAAAATTAAAGTATTGGGATTGGATTGAATTATTTTAAAAACATAGATATAAGAAAAAGAATTGCATCCCAGGAAGAAATTCAGGATTAATCTTCAATGCTATGACAATTATGCTGCAGACAGTTCCATGCAAAAGAAAAGCTTAACTGAAAGCATATTAAGAAAAATGAGTTACACAAAAAATCAATTTGTCAACTCAAAATTTAACCACTCCAGCGTACAGACTCATGTCAAAGGTATAGAAACTTTTCATTTTTCAAAAAAAAAAAAAGAGACTGAAATTGTTGTTGATGACACCGTTGTTTTTCTTTCTTCTTTTTTTTTTTTTTACCTTTTCAAACACAATTAATTGGATGACCAAGCTAGTGAACACTACTACTACCTTTTTATTTAGAAGTGATGAGGATTGTCAACGTACATGTTATACATTTATTCTTTGTGGTTGCGAACCCAGTTCTATCATGGCTGTGTAGGTGAAATCTTTATTGCAACAAGTACTAATTACTTGGACTTTCCATTCAATCCACCGACAGCTCATATAATTTCCTTCTCATACGGCACAAAGCCCACCTTCCTTTTTCCCTCTTAAAACTGCACTTCACCGCTTCCATATTTATGATCTCTGCAGCTCTCTTAAGTCTTTCTCCCCAGGAAACATGGTACAAACAAAGAAATTCAGAGGTGTCCGGCAGCGTCAGTGGGGCTCTTGGGTATCTGAAATTCGCCATCCTTTACTGTAAGCCCACCCACTCACATTATCACACGGCTTCTTTTCTATATATAAAAACTCCCTCTCTCTTTTTTAAAATAACATTAATTACCTATATGTATGAATGTGTGTTTATATATATATATATATATATATATAAGCCTGGTCGCATACTCTGATATCAACTGTATTTGATGTACAGGAAGAGAAGGGTATGGCTAGGCACATTTGAGACAGCTGAGGCTGCGGCAAGAGCATATGACCAGGCTGCCATCTTGATGAATGGACAAAATGCCAAGACCAATTTTCCTGCAGCAAAGACTCACCCTGGTGAGACAAATGCTCGTGATGATGACTCTCCATTGCCTCCCAAGGCCCTCTCTGAGCTTCTGAATGCTAAGCTCAGAAAGTGTTGCAAAGACCAATCTCCTTCTCTGACTTGCCTGAGGCTTGACTCTGATAATGCTCATATTGGAGTATGGCAAAAACGAGCAGGCACTCGTTCAAGCTCCAATTGGGTCATGAGGGTTCAGCTCGGGAATAAGAAGATTACTCCAGCATTGGAAGATGGATCAGCATTGTCATCAGGGACGTCGCCTATGGCTGATGATCAGATTGAAGCTGCAAGTGTAATGGGAGAAGAGGACAGGATTGCAATGCAGATGATAGAAGAATTACTCAATTGGAATTGTCCTGTGACTTCAACCTCAGGAGGAGTTTAGAAAAGACATGTATCCTTAGAATTGCTTGTACATCCTCTGCAAAACTACTCAAATCTGTTTCATTTTACCTTTCCTGGTGATAAATCATTCATCTGCCATCCTCACATGTAAAATTGGAACAAAATGCAGTATATTACCTGGTAATTGTGAAATTTACCATATGAAAACAAATGTATATCAGCACCTATATAACTGTTTAACCTATTAATCCAAGCTTTAGTGTCAGTTATCTGTTAGATTCTATAAGCCTGGAGAAAGGTCCTGTTTCTGGAGCGTGAATTAGCCATATGTTTGGTACATTGGAAAGACAATCCTTCTTCCTCATTATTATTATCTTTGGTTCTAAATTAGAGAAAGCTTGCTACCAAAAATAAATTTGATTTCCATGGTAAAATTAGGAGATGCTAAGCTTGCATAAATCATTTATAATACATACGTATGTACGATTTGTTAATTATAAGTATGAAATTTGTATGTCACACGGGAGTATAAAGCATATGGTCATGAACTCAAAGTTTAAATCAATTAGTTTATATAATTATTCTTAAATGATAACATTCAATAAAAATGGGATTCAAATCTCAATATTTACAATCACATCTTCTATTCAAAGTCACAGGCCCCTTTAAAAAAAAAAAAACCATCTTGTGATTTGATGATTTATCTATTAAATAGTAGTATTAATTAATCTATAATTCAAGATTTCTTTTTCTTTTTTTTTCCTATACTATAGAAGGACAATATATAAAAGATCAGTTGCTATCTGATTTGTCCATTTAGGAAGAATAATTAAAGGGGCTGCTATACCCTTTTTTTCTTAGTTTTTGGTGAATAATGGACGCTTCTACATATTTAATCTTGAGATATTGTTTATCTCTTCCTTAACTAATTAATAATATATTTCCTGGGTTTTTTTATCAAGCTATAATAATTTTTGAAACTTAATTCAAGATATACTGTGCTTTTAAACTTATTTGCCAAATCATAATATTTTTTTACCATGTCATGCTTTCTTATTTTTGCAATTAAAAGAAAAAAGACTTTGAGAGTGAGAGGGCCTTTTCTATGGGTTTCGATTGGTTTTAGGCTCATCTTCCCTCATCTGTCAGCGACTTATAGCCCGACTGACCGATCTACGGGCACGGGTAGAGCAGAGTAGAAACAGTGGGACGTCTTTCTCTGATTCTTATTTTGCATAGTCGGGCACAGCCAGGCTATTGTTAGGTGGACTGACTTGATGATCAGCTTTAGGCTCGAGAAGAAGGAAGTTGGTAAGAGGGATAGAGTTCCTTACGCGAGAAAGCTAATCACATCCACCCCTTACCCCTCGTAAGGTATCTCAAAAACAGAACCAGAGAGACTGCCTAGTAAATTCATATTACATTGTCAACCGTCATGTAGTTGCAGTTTCGTCAAATGTTAAATTTTTAATTTTAATAATTGAATTCAATTTTTTAATATAAAACAATTAATTTATATCATATTACAATAAAATAAATAGATAAATAAATTCATGATGCCATTTTTAAAATTAGATATCAACATAATGAAAAATTAGAATAAAACGAAATAGGTAAAGAAAAGACAATGGAAAGAGATAATCAAAGCGCTAGGTTAAGGGCCAATTGCCATTTGGCTTTTTTAAATTGCAAAAAATTAAATAAAATATAATAGGGGTAATTACATGGTAAAAAGTATTATACATTTAACCCATAATTTAATTTAATTTTTTATACTATCATCTTTAAAAAGTAAATTTAAAATTTAAATTTATACACTTACAATCTCTTCTCATGCATGCAATCTTTTGTAAAAAAAAAAATACTATACTTATAAAAAAAATGAAAAAAGCACTATACATTAACAAATAAATTCAAAAGTGGAAAATATTGGAAAATAAGTTCTTAAACTACTCCACTTCAAATAAGTTACATACATGTGAAGTCAAATTCTCCATGTGCCCTACATATTTGCTGCTGATAGATGTCTGTCATATATATTAAACAACAAGGTCCCTCAAGTCCAATCCAACTTTTCTTTTCCCCTTTCTTATCTCTATATCATGACCATATGCAGATAAACTGAAATTCGTATCTTTCACTCAAGTTTCCCAAGCTTACTTTATTAGTAATTAAAGAAACCGCCATAAGTTTATGTAGATGACAAAGTGATTTGAGAGTTATTTATTGGGCATCCAATTAAGGCATTGGTCGTTGATGACATCCAAAATTTGAAGGAAAAGTTTCGCTGTTCAATTTTCGGGAATGAATAATTTTAGCACAAAATTTACGCAATTATTGAATGGGGATATGTTGAAAGATACGTACATAATATTTAATAAACTAATTAACAAGCGTTTATAGAAAAGTGATTGAGATTTGTTTAAGTGATAATTTCTCTTTCAATTGAGAATGATGTTTTAAGATTTAAACTTTTATTTCCCTTTCCTATCGCTATCCAAATGTCTCAACAAGAAAATAGATAGAACAGGCAATGCAAAGGGCAACAACAATTTAAGATGTTGATTAAGACAAACACATCGTTCACCCAGCAATGAAAGAGGAAAAAGATGTTAACAAATATTGGCTAATGAAAGTGAAATATGCTTTCCATTTAAGATAAAAGATACTTAAAGACGATTAGAGCATTTGAAATTGGAACCCTACTTAAATATTATAGCCGATCATGTAAAGACAGCAAACCATGTGGGAAGACATCTTCTCAAATGCCTGAATAAACATAAAAATTATATATATATATATATGCTCATCGATTGTAACATTGAAACTATTATAAAACAAACCAAAAGCATTATTAACTTTCACTGCACATTCTCATTAAAAAAAAAAAAAATTCACCGTTCACCACATTGGTGAATGAGGCATTTGCCTTAAGCATTAAGGACCTTTTGGTTAATTAAGTATATAGTGATTTTTTATGTATAAAAAAAAGTATATAGTGATTTAAAAAAAAAAAGTTGCTGGTGCATGGATAAGCATGATAAGAATTCTATATATTGCGCGATGATGAAAAAAATATATATATATATATATATTTCTTTGAGTGTAAGAACAATAAAACTAAATTTATAATGTATAATTAAGTCCAACAGTACCCACCCACTCCCAAAAAAGTTGAAAAAAAAGGAAAAATAGTTGAAATGTGGGAAGGGAAGCTCTCAGAGCAGTTGGATGAGAGTTACTGCAATTCGTACAATGGGAGTGAGATATCTTGTGATGTTATTAATAACAAATAGAGAAGGGTTTCGACGTATTGGTTAATTTGGTGCATTGCTTTTAAGCATGTGATGTTGATATCTTTGTTTCCATTGTTTTTTTTAATTTGTTGAATTTTAATTGATGATCGATGACGATGCCTTGCCAATTCCTGTCGATCATTGTGCGGTTGTAGTAATGGGATATGGACCCTTGGCCTTGGCTAGGCTATCCTAAATGCATAGCGATCGAAATAATTGATCAATTGTTCATTAAACATGTCTTTAGAAACTGTTATAGCTGACCTCAAATCTAGACGTGGATCTTTACCCATTGCTAATTTGCTCAGGCAACGTGGGGGCCTCAATAACTTCTTGGTGTATAATAATTGCTTTTTTCTCGTAGGGTGAAATTCGCTTCGATTTTTCCTGTTTAAAGTGAATGCCCATTGATGACATTTATGTAACATTTTTTTGTGTTCTTATTTCAATTTTTAGTCATTGTATTACGGATCGAGATTTAAGTTTTAAATTCGTACGATTTTAATATTCGACATCTATTCATTTGAGATTTCGGATTAATCTATCTGTCACAGTTCACATCCTTGTAAGATATTGTTCGCTCTGATTTTTTTGATCTCACGATTTTATTTTATAAAAGACGTCTCATAAGATGACGTCCTCGTCACGGAGATTGATCACCTTGTCTACCTCTTTCGAAGTATTTGACGTGGATCAAACGATTTAAGGTTGACTCTGATATCACTTGTCACAGGTCGAGACTTAAGCTTCGAATCTACGCGATTTCGAAACCCGAACATCCACTCATTTGATGTTTCAGATCAACCTACCTACTAAGATTCACACCCTTATGAGGTATTATTCACTCTGACCCTCGTGATCTCACTATTTTGAACTACAAAAAAACGTCTCACAAGATAAAAATAATATGAACCATTTTATATCCTAATAATTTTTTTTTATGTTTGATACGAGATTCAAAATTTTTTTTTAGTTATGTGACATTTGTACCACCTTATTCATTTTCATTGTTGCACTAGTACTATTATAGTGCCTTAAAAAAAAGGAAAGAATAAAGTAAAACTTGTCATGTCATGCATTGGTCTTTTTTTTTCTTCCTACTTCCTTTGAGCAAAGTTTTCTACAACTTCTAAACTCCGCTTTATTAATTAAAATAAATAAAAGAGAGAAAACAGAATAAGATAGCACTGTTGATATGTAATAAATTGGTAGATTGAAGAATTATTTTCAATTTACACAATTTGGCCCACCTCCTATCTAAGTTGTCCCTTCAGTCAACTTCCAATCCTTTCACCCTGGTTGCTGCAGAACTTTTGGATTTCAGAAATAGACTAGCCTTTCAAAAAAAAAAAAAAGTTTATGTTAGCACTTTTAAAGAAGACAGAATCTTCAACGTTGAGCAAAAAGGTCGACCAAATTTATGTACTTTTTTTTAATTATAAAAATTACAGTATTATCAGTTAGTAGAATTTTCTAATCTATATACCATGCCTTAGAATTTGTTTTTTGGTGCACACTCCCTTAGATTATTAATTAGCCCTATGTGTGAAACGATGATCATTAATTGTGGCAGGTTGTAATGTACATTTAGACTTTTATCCAGGCAAAACCAGTCGTTTCATAGTAACCACAGAATTAAATTTATTACTAACTTATAGGACCTTTCTTTAGGACCAGACTAGGGATTGAATCTTTGAATTAGCCTAACAATGGCACGAGGATAGCTCTACAATTCATTTGAGACCAAAGGTGTTTCATGGTATGGGCTGGACTGTGTCAGGTCCGGTTAATTTTTCTAAAAAATTTTGCTTAAGGCCCGATTGCTCAGCTCAAGAGATAAGAAAATATTTTTAAAAAATTTTAATATTTAAAATATAAATATTTA